TACCTTCCAAGTGGTCAAAATTTGTTACCAGGCCAAAATAAGTTATGCATGGAGGTTAAATTGCACACCCATGCATGTATACAGGCACAAGTGACTCTAAAGTTGGTGAGATCTGAATGAGCTCTGTGTGTGAAAAGCCAATTGCTTGGTTTTGGTATTGTCCTCTCATTACAAACATAGTCACTTTGCAGTACTGGGTAATGAGTGTATGGGATCTCTCCATACTTTTTTTTTTCTTTTGGTGAATTTGTAATTATTTCAAAATTAAAAGTTAAAAGAATTAATAGAGTACAGTTTATCTTAATCTAACAGAACTTTTTTATTTCAATAATTCAGAACTTCTAAAAGTTCATGTATTTACTGACAACTTTTATCATACTGCCGCCTTTTAATGAAGTGTAAAATATACTTTATAATGCACTTCTTTCAGTTTTATCCACTTAATTAAGGAAAACTTCTCATCACTAGCACAAAAAAGACAGCTGGTATCATTTATTATAAAATAAATTGTATCAAAAATTAATATAAATAAAACAATGTTTTAAATTTCTGAGTAGATGCTGTCTCTCTATGTGTCTTTGTTAAGTATCAGGACAGCATTTAAAGACTTTGTAGCATTGAACAGAAACAGTTCTGGTGATTTATTCTAATGGACTCAAAAATAGAATGGGAATGACTTTTCAGTATGTCACAATATTTTTAATGCTATGTCCCTTTCCCTCTGAAGGCATCTCTCTTACCCATAAAGATCTTTACTTCTCGCTTCAGGAAACTGGAATTGCTGGTCACAGTGCTGGCTCAAGGAGGCAGATTGACCTATTGTGAATAGCACATATTTCAGAAATCAAATGGAACTGGATGCAAGCCTGCTAGTTAGCAGTTGTCACGTGTTTTAGTCAGTTTGCGTCACTGAGATTAGAAGACCTGACAAGAACAACATAGAGAATGACAAGTGTATTTCAGCTCATGGTATCAGAGGTTCAGTCCATGGACAGCATACTCCATAGCTCTGGGCCAGAGGTGAGGCAGACCATCATGTCAGAAGGGCAGGGAGAAAGAAAGCAGCTCAGGACGTGGTAACCAGAAAACAGAGAGAGCACCACACTCAGCAGGGACAAAATATAAACCCCTAAAGCCTACTCCCAGTGACCTGCCTCCTACAACTACACCCCACTGCCTACAGTTACCACCAGTTAATACATATCAGTGGATTAATAGGTCACAGGTCTCATAATCTGATTTTTTCACTTCTGAACATTCTTTCATTGTTCCGTACATGAGCTTTTGGGAATGCCTCAGATCTAAACTGTAACAAACATGTTAACCACTGTAAGCCTTTTGTCATAGCCACAGTGAAGATGAGGTTAGTTGTAGAACCAGTGAGGATGCACACAGGACAACCAGATTTGGCTTGGCCCTGCCTCTGCACATGATCAGTTACATGGCCCCTTTCTTATCCACATGATCAGGATAGCAGTTCAACTTCAGTCTTCAGGTTTTGTGAGGAATGAATGAGTTAAACGTGTGGCTGTTGTAAAGTCAGGTGTCATTGTGGGGAGACTAGGCCCATAAGTGTAACAACAGTACATAGGAATTGCTGTCATTTCATCCCCTGATGTATTCCTTCTCACTGGTGGTCACAGACTAGGCAACAGCCATGAATCAAAGTCCTCTCCTATGAGGCCACAGGAGAGGTTCTTCTTTAGGGGAAGGTTCTGGAATTGCAGAACCAGAGGATTTCTCTGGGTGGGCTGTGGATAGATGGAGAGCATGTGCCAGGATTGAAAGAAGGGCTAGAGCCTTGGTGAAGGAAAGCAAAAGCCAGAATGGGCGAAAGGAGAGATCCACTCACAAGTTTTACCAGTAACAAGAGCAGCTTTGCTCCCAGAGCAGTACTTGTGGGGAGGGCAGGATGTGCCAGGGGAGAGTACTCTTTCACCTCAAGGGCCTAAGCAGGAGGAAGCTGCTTCTGTGGAGTCCACTGGCCCAGGCCAGTGAGGAGTGGGAAATGAGAGCAAGCCAAGCCTACTGGCTCCTGGTTTATCTTTGCAGTTCCTAAGGGGCTTTTCCAGTGTCTTCACACCTTGATGTCCTTAGTCCTTGATCTTTATACTCCCAAAGGGGAGGGACAGGCAGCCATTCTTATTTTCATTTTCAGCATGAGGTACCTGAGCCCATAGGAGAGCAGAGCACCTGGCTCAAGGCCCAACAGGGAGTGCAAGCAGGAATCCAGACAGCTCCTGTGTCTCAGGACCTCGCATTTCTGCTTCAGAAGCCACAGTCTTGCTTCATTCCCACATGGGGAATCATATTTTGATGCCCAGTTTCCAGAAGGCAAAGAGCAGAGGCTCCATTTCTGCCTGTCTGGTCTGGAGTCTCCTGTGGCAGTGGACCAGGGAAGCCAGGGTGCACTTGTTGTCCACCTTCTAAGTGTGAAGCAGCCTGTGTGGCTCACGGTGACTGCTGAAAAGGTATTGAATGAATTAACTGCTGAAAGTTGAGTGAATCAATGGATGAACTGATTTGGCCTGAGAAAAGCCACTTTATTTCACTCTGCGCCGTCACCTGGACTCTAAACCAGGGGCACATAACACTCATTCCCAACAAGGATGCTTACTCTGTTGTGGTCTGTTTGTGTTCAGGCCCACCCATGAGAGTGAAGACTAGGAGGACGAGGAGAAGAAGGGATGAGGCTGCTCCCTGCAGTACCAGCATGCCCTGGTGCGCGTCCTCACCCAGTTTGTGACTGAGTCATCTGACTTGGGTCAGCTGACCTACATGTTGGGCCCAGACTGGCAGTTTGACATCATTGACCTTGTGACAGAGTTCATGAAGGTGGAGGAGCCCAGAGTCGCCCAGTTACAGGATGGCAGGACCCTGGTTGGTTGGGAGCTGGGAATCACCACTGTTCAGGTACACGAGGTTCATGTTTTGCCACCTCTCCAACACCAGTACCTGCTGATGGTGCAGGAAAATGCTGCCATGCAGGGGTGTGCACATATGTGAGGGTGATTGTGCAAATGTGCAGATACCGAGTCTGCCTGTAACAGAATCATGAGAAGCAATAGAGTATTCACCAATTTTAATAACCTAAACATATTTTGTATTTTAGAGAGAGTTGAGAAAAATGCCTGATCTGTTTTTACCAGAGAAAGCTAAATGAAACACATAGTGTAAGTCACCCTTTTCCCGATATGACACACATTTTTTTTTTTAATCTGTACTAGGAGGTGGTAGAACCTCTGAAAGCAAATTTCTCCTCAACTTTGACTTTTAGCCATTTAGCTACATTATACCTTTAACAGTAGGCAAAGATTTTTTAAAGCATGTATTTGGCTATAAATCACAAAGAAACTATAGTTAAAAGCTCTCTATTTTCATCATACTAATAGTAAAATAGTTTCTAACTGATTTTGGCAAGATTAAAAAAGAAAAAGTCACAGATTGTTTTATTTTTTGCAAATTTAAAATGTTACTACTTCTAGTTAATTATGTCTTATTTTAGGTGTTGCCAAAGTTAATTTTCGACAAAGTTTAATTAAATATGTAACATTCTATATTCTTGTCTATTTCTGTGTAATATATTACCACCAATTTAACATTTCAAGACAACAGTAGTGTATTAAGTTATATTCTGTGGGTACACAGTCCTGGTAGGTGGGCTGGTTCTATGCTCAGGGTTCCTAAGGCTGAGATGCAGGTTCTGGCTGGGCTTGGCCCTTAATCTTGTAGTTTTGGGAACTCATTGGCTTTTAATCTCATTCAGTTTCTTGGAAGAACTTAGCTCTCTTATAGTTATAGCACTGAGGTCACAGTTTTCTTACTGTCAGCCAGGTGTTGCCCTATCCTCTAAGAGGACCCCTCGATTCCTTCTCACATGATCCCTCTCTCATCAGTAATGGCTGGATTCAGTCCTTCTCACACTTAGAGTCTGAATTCTCCTGCTACCAGCTGGGAAAACGCACTCTGCTGTTAAGGGTTCCTGTATAATTCTGGAGACCCTTGTTTTAGAGCCAGCTATGCCATATAACAGTGTGATTGTAGAGTGCTTTCTCATTGTATTTTAAGGTTAAGGTCAACATTTAGGGGGACTGTTCTAGAAATTGTGCCTTTGACATATTCCTGTCCTGGTTTAAGTCTCCCATGGTTGCACATTAGATGGTAAAGTGGTAGGAATGGCTCCTTAGGACATGACTATTTCCTGCCCCACTTTAACTGTTCATCCAGTTATCCCACAGTGGTCCACACAGTGATCATATTGTCCCATGATAGGCATCTAACCTGCCTATTGGAAGGGATGTGAGCAGGAGAAAAGGGCTGAGCACCATTTTCTTCAAAAGAGTTGACCACAGGCCACTGCTTTCAAAGCCTGAATGTTGGTTGTTGGGAAAGCGCTACTCTTTGAGTGCTGAGTACCAAGGCAAGCAATTTGAGTTATTGCCTATAACTTAAAACAAGCTTATCTCAGAAAATACACTGTTGTTATCATGGCATGAATTCCAAGAAAGAAAGTGGATTAAGGTGACCTTTATAAAACTCCTTCAAGTGCTAAGTTTAGTTGGACAATGGCAGGATACCTATGTAAGCAGTCTTCCTGTGTGCACTCTGTAGAGCACTGCAGAGTCTCCCGAGGCCCCGCCAGCTCCAGGACTTGAAATTGTCATGTGGGCAGAGACCGCGCTTTCACACTTACTCCCCAGGTCCTCTCACCTCTCTCTGACTCCATCCTGGCTGAGAAGACAGTGATTGTCCTGGATGACCGCATCACCATCGTGGAGCTGAGCGTTCAGTTGGTGGCTGGCTTGTGTCTCTTCCTGCAGCCTCACAGGGTGGACCGAAGGGTCATCGTCTCCACGGTGGCTGCCCAGGATGTCCTCCAGGCCCCACAGCAGGTGAGAGCCTGGAGGCCTGTGCCCTAGTCCATGGTCAGCTCCTCTCCAGGTCGTTTTGTCATACACAGAGGGTCAGCAGGGTCTTGCAGCCCCTCGAAGCCCCTTGCTGTTCTTGGAGCTGCTCCCGCATCTCCCCCACCACATTGGGTCTAGGAAAGCGTGTAGAGATGGAGGCTCATTTCCTCCACCATTTGTTCTCCAGAAGGATAACCTGTGATAGCACAGTCTGCTGTTGGACTGTGAGCTGAGGGCCATGTTTTTTTACCTTGGCCAAACCAAATGGGTAATTTTTGATACTGCATCTTGCTAAGATGCTGAGACTGGCCCTGAACTCATGATCCTCCTGCCTCAACCTCCTGGTTGGCTAGTATTACAGGTGTGCATCACTGTGCCTGGCTGTTGGAAATCATTTATAAAGATAACCGAGGCACTAGGCCGTTCAAGCAGTACAACTTCATAATCCATCGTTTACCAAGAAATTTACCAGAGTGCGTTTTGCTTCATCAGCATTGGCTTCCTAATAAAGAAGGTTCAAAGCGATATTATCTTTAGCAGTAGCCTGATTAGTTGCACCTAAAATTGATTCAGATAAATTGCCTGATCTTTCAAAGTGTTTTTAGAAAGGTCAAAG